AGGGGGAGGGGCCTCCCCTGGATATCAACCAGCCTTGGCATATCAAGGTGCAATAAGACTTGGTGCACCTTCTCCTATTGAAACCCTAGCTCAGTAGGAGGAAAGGATCCCAAAGGCAAGCATTCGACACGTTTTTATACCTGATGTGACATTAATAACTTATCTACACCCACTGAGCACTGAATCCATGTCAGAACTCAGAGATGAGCTTATTTCTTGCAACTATGTACCTACCCATTATGCAAATTCTACTGTCAGGTTCAATTGAGAGGTAGGGAAAACAGCCTGCAAGTGAGCTGATGTCCTCAGCAGCTCACAGCGGCTAAGTTAGGACTGCAACCCAATCTTAGAAACTTCTGAAGCCAAAAATGTGTCTTTAACCAGCGCAATATCCAGGATCTTTTATAAGTGCCATTTTTTTTTAATTGCAAAACCATCGCTAGGGAAAATATCCACCATTTTTAAGGCTCTTGTTAACATATTCCTTACTGTATCTGAGTACATTTCTCTTCTCTTTGAATTCCAGGAAATTCAAAGACATATGGATGTGGAGCCCCTGTGGACTGTGCCTTTGGGTTTCTCTTCCCAGATTCAGACTTCTGGTGCTGTTTCTATATTCAACAATTTTGTTACTTGAATTTTTTTGCCATGTGTCATTTTAAATCTTCCAAAAGATTTGGAAACACAGAAATATAAAAATCATAAGGTCTTGAATTTATCACATTTTCAGTTCTCAGCCCTGCTCCCTCACCACAGCATCCTTGATATCATTTAAGGAGCATGATACCAATTAGCAACATTTTCCAACTTCATGTGCTTTATCTTTCTTTTTTCAAATGCAGTCTGTGGTCGTCTCAGCCATGTTAACTGCAATTTTTCTGAAAAGAAAATAAAGATAGCCCAACCACACTGTGTGGTTTGGTTTACTTGTTTAAAGTTTAGGCTATACTTTTCAGTGACATCCGTTCAGACTTGAAACCTAGTCAGTTGCTGACCTTGATTCTTAGGGTATCAAGTGAAGTCAGCATTACCAAAGTGGGGGCTGTCAGTCAAACAATTTGCATGCACTGGCTAACACACAGGTATCTAATTCTAGGGGTACTTGGTTGAAAAAAAAATGGAAAGTTTTCTGACCCACTTTAAATCAGTGTTTCAGTAAAAGACCAGCGAGAAACTCTCCTAAAGAGGAGCTTTCGTTTCCATGAGGTTTGTACTCATTACTCAGAGGAGAAACTGACAAGCTGGGAGGATCTGCTTGATTTGATTTTCAGGTAGAGACTGGGGAAAACACTGAAAGACTGTGGTCATTTTGGGATGATGTCACACAACACGTCTTCCTTCTCTTACTCAGCTTCCAGGCATTATTCTTGGGGCTGGCAAAGAAGGTATGCCTCGAGAATCCACCATCGCCAAAGCGATTAAGAGTCATCCTGTACAGTTCTGAGTTTGTCAAGGGTACCGGTCTTACAATGCCTAAAGTAATGGACACTTATTGGTTTTTAGCCACGTAGGTTAGGGTTGATTTTTAGAGCTGTCCAGTCATATATGATCTGGTTCTATCAAACTGAAAATTGCCAGGTCAAAATTCAGTAAGGCAGCTGTCAGAGGACAATAAGGAGAGAAAGGAAAGTTAAGAATGCACAGCACCTCTCAGAAGGAAGAAGAGCTATCCAGAGTGAAGAACGACGAATGGTGGAGATAAAACATAATCTGAATACTAGAAAAGGATCTAGGGGTTGAAGAGATGACTCAGGCAATAAGTACCTGCCATGTAAGCATGAGTACCTGAGTCTGGAGCTCTGGCATCTGTATAAAACTGAGTCTTTACAACCCTAGCTAGAAAAAATAGGGAGACAAAGGCAGGAGGCAGAGGGTTCCCTGGAGCTCCCTGGCCAACTAATCTAGCCAATCTGTAAGCATCATAGTGAGGAGAAATCTAGAAAGACTCTCAACACACAAGTGCAGCCTACACACACAGACACAGAAACACATGCACACACCACACGCGTGCTGCTCACACATCGGCACGCTAACATTCAAACACACACCCATGCACCAGCCTACTCAGTTAAAGCGGCCCCTTTACCCATCACGCCCAATCCGCTGTGCGTCATGAGGAAGGCACTTCCGGCCGCCAGGGATTCCAGAAAACCTGGGCACCGTTCCTGGGGCTTCCTGTCCCAGTGTCTTCAGAAGCACAACTACAGTTAAAACTGAGTCAAAATGTAGATCTGGATAAAATCCTGGCTTTACCAATTCCATAAGGACATCCATGTGGTCATTACTGCAAATAGAATCCTCTCGTAACATCAGGTCTTTCCTTTAAGTGTCTGTTTGGGATTATTCCTGGGCCAGGTGGGGCACTTTCATAGCAGCATCCCCTGCACTGAGGAACAAGAACATTCTCTCCAGGAGTGTTCTCTCTCAATTACACAAAACCAATGGAGAAGGAGCCTTATGCCATGCTGTGCACACGATTAAACCAAATGACACCCAACTGTTCAAACAGCCATTGTCTCTTTACAATAGGATGTAAGTCAACCACTTAAAGCTGTGAAATCCCTCCTTTATACAGACCATTGTTGTATTTCCTGAAAAGGGCTATAGAACACACGTTAGTGGACAATAGTTTCTCAATGGTGCCCATGCCATCTGAGCAAAAGCCAAAATTTGGTTTTGAATTTTTAGTCTTGATTTTATGTCATGATTTTTCACCATACTGAGACAAAAGATATTCATCTCAAAGGCTAGTACGTAGGCTGAGTTTCACTACTGCAGGACTGGGAGGGCTGTTCAAGCTCTTCCTTCACCATCATTCACTGGAATTGGCAGCAAGGACATCTCCCAACCCACCCCTTCCCAGGCCAGCTCATCCTTGCCAGAGAGCAAGAAGAAGGAATGTCTACTCTATGGAATCCAGCATAGGCTACAACATTGGCACATTATTTTCAAGTGGGTCAGGATTTGGAGCCAAAGGGATGAGACAACCCAGTGGTGTCTTAGAATGTAGCTGAGTTCTAAAAAGAAACAAGGTCATAAGCTTCTGACATAATGTTTTACATCATCTAACAATAAAAATCTCATTTGCTTTCTACTATTTATTTGCTATTTACTAAACCCTATGCAAAATGGTGCAAAGATTAACAAAATAGCTACCAGTGTTCAAGTAGCGCACAATCTAGCAAGGAAGCTAATAAGCAAACAACATACAGTTCAAGAAAAACACATAAGAGACAAGTGCTACCAAAGTAATCCATGAAGACCTGTTACATAAAAGATTATTGTATTCAATGGAACTTATAGAAATGAATAACACATTAGTAGCCTTGAAGTATCACAATACAATCCAAAGCCAGAAGTGCATATGTCAGACATACTTGCAAAGGTTAATTCAGTGTAGTAGAAAATGAAACCAAAGGCGGTGAAGTCAATGGGGTGGGATCTTCATTCCAGGGATGGAATTCCTAGCCAGAACTATGTAAACAGGATCCCACAAGACAAGAAACATACTGATAAATGGGGTGGAAAAGGACTTTGCCAAGGCTGTACTTTAACTAATGGTAAGTTGTAGAAAGATGACAGGTAGAAAACCAGGACCCACCGAACCCTAACATCAACCATGGTAAGAGTGAGGCTAGAAGGGAAGTTCATTCAAACTGCAATACTAATTCAAGCACTGAGGAGTTCACACTTCTCATTCAGGAGGTTGGAGAATGAGAAAAGAAAACACAGAGAGGTGTGCTTGAGACACGTTTCAGGGGCATTAAAAGTGTCAAAATACCAAAAACAGGTGAAAGTCAAAACCAACAGCAGGTCTAGAAAGAGTGTGAGAACATGATCACAGACAGAATCCAGCAATCCTACTAGACACTGTCTACTGAAGAGGAGCTGCTGGGTCACTTCATGCTTCTGGGCTGAATGTGAGACAGGATCTGTAGAGCTGAGAAGCTCAGAGACATGGTTCTCCTCGTTAGAGGCAAAGAAAAATGACATCTATATCTAATGACTGCCACATTCACCATCTTGTCCTCGTCCTCTATTCCTAGAGAGAAACTCTTTGCCATCAAGGACTTGATGGCAAAGGTCATTGCACTGAGAAGAGAGAGCACAAGAGAGCTGTTGCCTTCTTTCCTCCTCATCCCTCCTCTTCTTGTTATTAGTCTATTCCATAGAGCCTCATTTTCTACATCATCGTTCTTCAGTGTCCATCTCTGAGCTCCTTCTTCACTTTGTCCAATAAGTTATTTTTTTCACTTATTCCTCTTTCTAATATTCATTCCCCTTATTCTTTCACTTGTTCCCCTCATCCTTAAAAAAAAAGACATGAGACTGAACCTCAAAACAGCAAATATGAACAAATTTGATACCATGCAGCAGCCATGAGTCACCAGTAAATCTCATGTAGCTAGCTACTCAGTAATAACTAATCAGACTTTGTGATTGTTCCTTGCACAGAGTACACATCCAAGAAAAGCAGTTGTTACACTCAGTTAAGTAAAATGTATTCCATAAGTGTTACTTATTTTGTTTGTTTATATGGCAAGACCTTGAGTGGTTTTTTAGGATGTTCTCTGGCGAGGGAATCTGGTAGGAAAGGAAGAAAAATCAAATCAAAACTCAAAGCACGTGACACCAGGAGAGTGTCAACCATCAAGAAGGCACATCAGCTTCACATATGTACATACATGATGCATAATACTGAGCCAGAGCAAGGCATCTGTGCTTAGCTCCCAACAGGCCAGGCTTCTTTGCATGGTGACCTTCTGCCCTTCCCATCTACCTTCAGAGACAGATGTTACCCGTCATAAAGGGGTGGGTCTGTCCTGACCTCATTTGAGGATGGAACCTTTACTCAAATGGTGTCACCCCCAACCCACTCGTAACGTAAGTGACCACAAAAGGAGCAAAACCCTATAAAAAGAGAGAAAGGAGCGCTACACTTCATCCACCTCACATCAGGCACAAGCTCATCCAGTGCCAGCTGAAAAGGACAAGCAACCATGAGTCCCAGGAGAACTTCATCTGTGGTGAGTCCCTCACTAATGTACAAGACTCTTGCTGATTGAGACCAGGTCACATTGCTGTATATTGTGTGAAATGCTGGGCTCCAAGTGTGGAGGTCCATGAATCTGTATATGTAGAACCTGGAAATCAAACCTTTGGTAGATGCCTTAACCATTGTACAGCATTTACAAGAACTGATATGCAGCAGTCAGAAAGATGAGGTTAACAGAGAGATAGCTGTGATGGAGCTAACCCACATAAGACATGTCACATGACGCTGTCCAATGAGAAGGAATGTCTATCTAAAGTCTGCTTTTCTGAGTGCAAAGGATTTGACAAAATTCTCTCATGCCGTTTTTCTTTAATCCAGAATAAAGTGGGCTCCTATTCTTGCAGATTTGAAAGCTTTGGAAGCAATTTTTGTTCCACTGTTTTATACAAAAGTCTTGGTATATTCCAGCCCTTTGATTCTAATCAGATACATGTATAACTCTCCTTATGAGTAAAGATTTGTTTTTTTAATATTTAAAAAAATATGCTCTGAACTCTGATTTTCACTTTAGGATCAATGCAGGCTAAATTTAGAACAACCAGAAAATATCCCTAAGAAGACATAGGGAGGGAGATCCAGTTTTTATCTGGAGCACGGCTGGTGTACACACACTGTTCCTAATTCCTACGTGAATGCTGACAACACGTGGGTTTTTTACAGTCCTGTTCTCCATGGTACATGTTTGACTGTGCACAGGGTTTACAGAATGGAGGGACTAAGAACATGGTACAGAAGGACATTTCCTCCTAGAAAATCAAGGTTGTTTAGTGTCCGGTTGACAGTCCCAGGAGGCTGATGAGATGGCATGACTCGACATCCTTACTAAGACCTGTGCGGGCTAAGACACCGCACGTCTGTCCTCAATCTCAAAAAAAAAAAAAAAACCAAACAAAGTAAGAAACTGGTTAAAAAATAAATATATACATAAAGTCTACAGTTTCAGCATGATTTTGGCCATCTTAAAAGTTTTAAAATTTTAAAATGTCTTACATTGTAATGTAGATCTTTCCAGAACATAGTATATTTCTTATAGTTAGCATGAATTTGTCAGCAAAACCCATATGCTAACCAATTCGCCCATCACTCTAATTTCTCTCCCAGTCTATGATGCTGTTGCTGTTCCTGAGCCTGGAGGCTGCAGTGAAGGCTGGGATACTCATCCCACAAAGTACAGCATGTCCAAACACCGAGGACACGAACTTCCTCCAGAATGTGAAGGTCAACCTGAAAGTCCTTAACTCCCTTAGCCCTAAAGTGAGTTCCAGAAGGCCCTCGGACTACCTCAACCGTTCTACCTCACCCTGGACTCTCCAGTACGTAAGAACTCCAGACCCACCCCCCCAAAAAAAATGTGTTTGGTTTTTTTTTTCCACTCTGTGACATATCACACAAGGCCTAAACATGGTTTTCTAGTTTTCCTGTCAGAATCATCAGGAACCAAGAAGGACCATTATGCTAAGCAATGATTCTCGAAGTTTCCTCTACAAACTTCTTAAATAGAGCAGGGGACACTTCACCCTAACCTGTTATAGTTGTTGTTAATGCCAAAAAATCAACCCAAATTAACCATGATTCTAACATTTTTAAGAGCTCATGTTGATTGACGATTTCTTGGAAATCCAAACACTTATCACAGAGCAATACCTGAGGCTTGTTTTTTTTTTTTTTTCTATCTCCTCAAATTAATAACCGTGATTCTAGCATTTAGAGCTCAAGTAGATCGTTGACTTTTTTAGAAATCAGGACATTAATCATAAAGTAGCATGTTTTCTTGCTGAAAATAATTAACAATTAACTAGGTATTTTTGTTCCTGTACTGAAGAAGACATAGAAAAATAACACCACAATGCTGGCAGAGGAAGTATCCTGTTGGTTATTTCTTCCCCTTTGCGAGTTAGACTTAACCTCCATCTCCAGCACTTTTGCAGTGCTCATATTCGTCATCACATGCCCTTCTTCCCTGTTCCTGCTTTTCCTTCCAGTTAACCAGGAATTCCCTTCCCCCTGGCTTCTGTCTCCCCTGCAGCCGCAATGAGGACCCTGATAGATATCCCTCTGTGATCTGGGAGGCACAGTGCCGCCATCAGCGCTGTGTCAATGCGGAGGGGAAGCTGGACCACCACATGAACTCTGTCCTCATCCAGCAAGAGATCCTGGTCCTGCGGAGGGAGCCTGAGAAGTGTCCCTTTTCCTTCCGGCTGGATAAGATGCTCGTGGGTGTGGGCTGCACCTGCGTTTCCTCCATCGTCCGCCGTGTGTCCTAAGCACACGCCTGAGGCTGGTGGGAGCAATTAGGACAAGCCTCGACCCCTAAGAAACCCCGCTTCTCAGCAACCCCGCTTGAATTTCTGAAACCGTTCGTGAGATTGATCCAGAGGTGGAGGCAAAATTGTCTGACTTCCTCCCTGAGGAGGAGGTTGAAAGGAGTGCCAATTTGCTTCTTGTTTGTTTTGCTTTAAATTATTTATGTATTTAATATATCCTGAGATAACTTTGGGGCGTAAGTTATTTTAATGAATTTAGCTACCTTATTATGTTTCTTTCTGAAGAAGACAAAAATTCAAGACTTAAGAAACTGTATTATTTAAAAGGTAAAAACCTATATTTATGTGAGTTATTTATCTATTTATTTTCCTTAAGTCTTTAAAGAAAGGATAAACGGTTTGATTATCAGATCTGCCTAGGGAAGTCCTAGATAGGATTAAATGTTAACTGAATTTTGGCTTTACTATTTGTGGGTTTAAGACTCCCTCCTCTGAAAGGAGTGAAAAACCAAACCTAGTTCTGTCTTTATTAACTTTTTTAAATTATGAAACTTGTAAAAAAAAAAAAACTGGTAAACTTCACTCCTTATTCTGTTAAAGCTTTGTAACAATATCACTGTAATAATAAATTTTTGGAAGAAAAAGTTATTTCCTTATTCTTAAAAAGTGGGGGTGGGGGTGGAGAGTTGGATCAGTGGCCAAAAGCACTCTCAGTGTAATCACGAGGACATGAATTCAGGTCCCAAAACTCGTGTGAAAAACCAGTAACCCTAGCTCCTAGAGACTGAGACTGGGGATGGCTGGAGCTTGTTGCCTCCGGCGTCGCTGAGAAAACGTAAGTCTTGGGCTCAGGGAGGCATCCCACCCTTATCGAACAAGACAGTGAGTCATAGAGGGGACACCTGATACCCTCTTCTGTCCTCTGCGTGCACGCACAGGCTTGGGTGTCCGCAAGCACACGCTCACTCACATCTATGAAAATAAATAAACAAAAAGTCTTCCTGCAAAAATATAACCAACGTGTATAGATTCCACATTCTTGGTTTTAATCGGCTGATGAGCAAGAATGTAGGCAGGACGCGCAAGGCACCCTTCCTGGATAATTCCAGCTACCACCCCTTATCAACGAAGTCTCTCCTTGCTGCCAGTGGAGAGTGTCACAGAAAACTACATCTGGAAACAACGCAGAGCTCAAAGGATCATGGGAAGCCCGGCCCCAGTGAACGCATCTGCAGGACAGCTCCAGCATCCGTGGCTCAGGGAGCATTATGGAAGAGGAGGAACGGGACTATAACAGGGAGAATATCAGGGAGTCTTCTGTGAAACAGTCTAGAAATGGCTGCATAAACAAGACCAGAACAATGGCAATCTTGCTGGACATGTCAACCTGGAAGTGGGTATTTCATGGGGCCCCACTCCTAGACAAAGAACCACAAGCAATTATTAACTTCTGGGAGAAAGAGAATTAGCCTCTCCCAGCGCCCTTTATAGTCTGTGTAATACACAGTGGTCAGCCCTGAAACCTTATACATGCCAACAACAAAATGGACCTGGCAGATTGCACTTACATTCATATACATATGTATGGAACAATACTAAAGAAAAGGAGACCATCATTTTAAGAGTGGGGGTGTGTGGGAGGGTTCAAGGGAGCGTAGCTGGGAGGCTCTGGAGAAAGGGAGGTAGGCAGTGATATAACTCTACTTGTATCAAAAACACATTTTAAAATATAATATGTTTTTCCACCATTATGAATTGGTGGGAATTATAAATGAATAATAGAAACCTGGGATCAAACAAGTTTGGATTTCAATACTGGCTTTCCCTACTTGCTGATCGATGAGCAATATTTCTGAGCCTCTTGCCTCCTCATCCATAAAATAAAAAAAAGTAATAAAAGTAAAAATAAATAAATAAGAAGAATGTAGCTAGGTCTCTGATAGGTGTCAGTACAGAATACATACAGTCTTGTACTCATCCACATGGGGCTCACATTGTGTGAGGTATTGTGAGCCATTAGAGATGACTGATTTCAGCATACAGAAGGATGAAGGCAGGTTACATGCAAATGCCACTATTTTATGCAAGGAGATGAGCATCTGCAGACTCTGATATGAGGGAGCGGCTGTCCTGTTAATCATCCCCCAAACACACTGAAGGTCTTTGGAACTTCAGCTCTCCTTTGTTTGGAAATGTATAAAACTGTACCTCAGAGCAACAACTCCCTTGAACCACCCAACTTCATATTTTCAGTTTCCCATGCCTTTAAAACAACAAGTACAGGCTCTTTCTTCTATTACTAGACAATGCTATGAACTGAAGAACTCTGCAATAAATTAAGAAGAAAAATATATATAATGGTCAGCCCTGAGAAAGTAGCACATCATGACTGAAGAGCAAAAGGGGGAAAAAAAACTTCCCCAAAATATAACCTGATATTTGACATAAAAGAGGAGATTCTGTTTCCAGAATAGGAGTCCTTGCTTTGACGACAAAGGCCCACCTGAGATCAGGAAGGAACAGATTTCCTTCTCAGAGATACAGTTCTCAGATCTGGTCTCTGTCTCTTATCCAATGCACACAAGCACCCAGAAATGAAAGGGTGGAGTAGAGCCAGGTTCAAGAATAAGATGTTCAATATAAGCAAAATAAAAACTGAGTCATTCTCGCCTACAGGTTGGTTTCAAGCTTTGAATCATAGCCAACCCCACGCCCAGTTTAAGGAGCCATATGGAAGTTCTGCAGCCATTCCCACGGCATTCCTGCTTTTATCTATCTATCTATCTATCTGGGAGGAGGAAGCCAGCTCCTTTCCCTGGTGAACCATCTCACCTTCACTCTTCACTCTCCTGCATGCCCAACACCACCCAGAGGTCTATGGTCTACCACCTCTACTTCACTCTAATCCCAAAGCAAGTAAGTGACTTCCCCAGTTTCTCTTGCTAAGCTTAGTGTTCATATCCACCCTGTAATAAGCTCCACACAAACACAAAGCTAGCATTGACAGGCGCTGCCTTCCTCCTTTAAAATTTATCACTAAAATCCTGATGCTCATATTTTTGGTCTTCAAAGAATCCGTGATGGAGGAGACTTTAACGAGAAACACCGAAGAGTTTCCTTCACCAGCTGTGTAACCTAGTTATTCTCCACTGAGGAAAACACCAGTGACCAAATACAGGTCACATCTTTCTCAGCTATGACGTCATTTGTCCACAGAACATGGATCCAATGTAATACAGAGACCTGTCGTTTTATTTTTTTAAGTGATATTAACTATTCATTTAGGGTTATTAAAAAAACATGGAGAAATTCAAAGATGTGTGTGCTATGCCTATATTCAAAGAAACCTCACTCTATGGGCACAAGGGTCAGTGGGATGGAAACTAACTGTAAAGGGAGAAGTGGAAACATTCTGAAGAGATAGCTCTGTGGCTAAGTGCACTTGTTGCTCTCCCAGAAGATCTGAAATAAGTTCCCACACTCATACTCAGCAGCTCACCACCACCTGTAACTTCTTCTCTAATGGATCCAACACCCTCTTCTGTCCTCTAAGGGTGCCAACGTTCACATGTGCAAACCAACAGACACATGCACATAATGAAAAGCAAAATGATACTTTAAAGAAAATAATTGAGGCCTTGAGGAAGTTCATAAGCTAAATAAATGAGGTGGCTTTGTTCTTGCAGATTACAAGTATCAGAGACCTTCAGAAGAAGCTGTTTCTACACATAAAATGGAAGAAGAAAGAGGGAAAAGATAGAGACAGAGAGAGCAGGCATTTGTTTTTGTTTTTGTTGTTGTTTTGTTGTTGTTTTGTTTTGTTTTGTTTTTAGCTGCAAGGCCATCATAGTAAGCCAGATTCAAAAGCACAGAGCCTGTCACAAGAAGAGCAACTGGGGCTAGCAGTGCTCAGCACTGACAAGAGACAGATCTCGAGACTCCAGGGGTGGCTGTTTATTCCACACCTCCCACACTGTCAGCCCCACATCTTGACAGATGTATAATTTAGGGCACAGGTGACACGACTGGTTCTCAAAGCATAAATCTCATTCTTAGTGCTGTTGGGGAAGTGGACATGTCTGTGGTTAAAAGCAAAGAGGCTTAAAAGAGCTCAGATCAAAGGGGACTCATCCCTCACATAACTCATGCTGAATTACAACTGGTAGGTTCCTCCCTTAAGTTCCTGGAAAGAGTGATGCACTATGGCTTGCTCATGCCCATACAATATGCCTAATATGAATGAATTGCCAGCAATGGTGATGATGGCCAGGAAGAGGCACTCATAAACGAGCATGTATTAAAGACACATGTGTCACTGGCCCAGTATTTATTACTGGAAAGGCAAAGTTGGGAAAGGTGGTTCATTCATGCTTCCATGTTCAGTGTTCTTCTGGGTAAGTAAGGCCTTAACGCTTACTGGACAGTTAGGAAATCGGTGTTCTGGAACAGTGAATGGTCTTCTACTCCACTCTCTGCAAGAAGAGAAAATGATCTGACACTGGTGCCAGCAATATGGCTTGCAGAGTAAAGGCACTTGCTGCACAAACTTGACAACCTGAGCTTAATTCCTGGAACCCATATATAAGGAAGAAGAAGAGATCAAATTTCACAACGTTGTCCTCTAACCTCCACATGTCTGCCATAGTATGTATACACACACACACACTGACAGTAAATTCTTTAATTAAATTTTTATTTTTTTATGTTAATTACATTTATTTACTTTGTATCCCAGCTGTAGCCCCCTCTCTCATTTCCTCCCAATTCCACCCTCCCTCCCTCATCTCCCTGCCCCTCTCTAAGTCCACTGATAGGGGAGGTCCTACTCCCCTTCCATCTGACCCAAGCTTATCAAGTCTCATCAGGACTGGCTGCAATGTCCTCCTCTGTGGCCTAGCAAGGCTGCTCCTTGATAGCATGGTATCATCTACAAGCCAAATAATATTATCAAGTCTACTTCTAAAGAACTTCAAACATGAAAATCTCACAATCATCATCCC